TGTACAGCGCTGTGGTGGATGCAGCACGTGAATCCTGGATTGTGCGCACTACATCTTGCGGGAGACCCATCCTCTCTAAGCGGATCCGCTCAGCGTCCAGACCCAAAGGTGCTGGCCTATTTCTGGGTAACTCCTGATCGCTCCTCCCGCCTGGAGGAGAGCGTCCCTCCCTCCACGGCAGTTTCCATGGGCGCCCCGATAACTGATGTCGTAGAACCGGGAACCATGGTGCGTTCACGCGCTCGCGAGCCACCAGGAGAGCTGTCAATCCCTCCTTCTGAACTCGGTTCAGAAACCGTAAAATCAGAGGAGGTGGGGGGAATGCGTAAAGAAGCGTTTTGGGCCATGGGCTGTGAGCAAATGCGTCCACCCCCAGTGGTGGTTCGTCTCGTGGGCTCAGTGAAAACCATAGTTGACACTGAGCGTTTTCTCGTGTCGCAAACAGGTCCACAGCCACTTTGCCAAATTTCTGCCACGTCTGGGCCATCAGATCGGGGTGGAGGGTCCAGTCCCTGTAACGTGGACCGCCCCTGGACATCACATCTGCCCCTTGTTCAGAACACCAGGGATGTACACTGCTCTGATGGAGAGCATATTTTGGTGTGCCCAACACAGTAGTTTTCTCGCATTGTGTAACATTTGGGCTGAGCGCACACCCCCCTGCCGGTTTATGTACGCAGCAGTAACCTTGTTGTCTGTGTGAATCAAAACATGTTGATTCTGCAGCACAGGAGCAAAGTGTTGAATCACATTCAGAACCGTGCAACATTCCAGAACGTTTATATGAGCTGTTGTGAGGTGGCCACAGCGCCCCTACAGCTCGAGATAGGCATGTCCCCCCCCAACCTGACAGCGACGCGTCTGTGAAGACTGACACGTGTGACGTAGGTCTGCTGACGGGGACTCCCTCCGACAGAACCAGGGAGTTTTTCCAGTGTCAGAGGTCTGTTCTCACGGAGGGAGGAACAGCGATCATCCGTCTCTTTTGCTTTACTGGATCCACGCGCAGACGAGAAAAACCATCACTGGAGGCGTCGCATGTGGAGTAAGCCAAGCGGAACCACTGTGTGAGCTGACGACATCATTCCTAACAGCTTCATGACGGAAA